GGATGCTCAGGACAGGCTTCGCTGGAGTAATGTTGTTGATGGCCTGTGCTCCACTGGGAGTTAAAAAGGGCAAGAGAGAGAGAGATAGTGATATGGAATGCCCCCATAGCCAAAAAAGAACATTTCACAGATAAAGAAAGATACAGACGTAGGTGACAGTGACGGACATGCGCTTTTCCGCTAGTTATTTTAAAACAAGGATAAAAGCTATTTGCCTTTGAGAATCCACCATAAAAAAATGCCAGCAAAATTTATAGGAAGTGCAAACGCTATGGAGGCTGAAACAGTCGTCACAATTATTCACAGAATCAGCGCAACACCGGGGTTAAGTCTACAGCAGGATGATGTGCGACGGAGACGTCAAATCTCATCAGTTGATCAAAACTTATTGGATTTATGACTTTGAAGTTGTAAAAGATAACTATATAAATCGCATTAGCAAAAGTATGTTCGACGCCCTAGAGAGCTTCCAAAACACCAACAACAAAGACCTGTAAAGGAAACTCACGAAGCCGAGCATTGAAAAAATCACCAGCGCTTATCCCACACATCTAAAAGACCGTGCGACCAACACAGCGCAAATAATGCCAAGAGATATCTATTTCTATGTTTGACATGGACAGTACTGACAACCTTCAACACCATCTCTACCCCACTGGCATCTATTCATGGTGCCACTTTCATCGAGCAAAAGACCAGCCGCCAAGCACATACAAAGCTTAAGATACGATGTGGCAAAATCTGTGAGACCAACTAATTTCGGAAAAGCTTACCCAACCAGAGTTTTGAAAAGATGTGCGTCCATGCTGATACAAAATGCTAACGAGTGCTCCAACTCCCTTGGTCACACCACACCAAGAGTCAACTCCCGTCTTTGTAGTCGGTCAAGACGACATCAGCTCTCTCTCTCTCTCTCTCTCTCTCTCTCTCTCTCTCTCTCTCTCTCTCTCTCTCTCTCTCTCTCTCTCTCTCTCTCTCTCTCTCTCTCTCTCTCTCTCTCTCTCTTGACATTTCACTGTGGTCTTTCAGGACTGTTTGCAAATATGACAGCCTCGGATATTCCTGTTAGACGATATCATCACAGACACCAATGCCGGAGAACCACAAACAAACTAAATTAATGTGCCATGACAGACGGGAAATGCCTATTAAAATGGAGCCATAATTTAAATAAAAGAACGTAGGAGACAGCAATTTTATTCCCTCTTGAGCAGCAAAGACACCTAGCTAAGGGTGGACTGTGTGAAGCAGGGGTCGCAAAATGTAAATGATCACATCAGACTGACTACCATTGACAATGATGCAATCGTGAGCTTGTAATATAACTAAGTTTGCAGGTAATTTTGGCGTCAAAACGTTAATGGCTATTTTCTCAAATTGGGCTTTTTGAAGGGGGGTGGCAATTTTAACCGAAAAAACCCTTCATATAATTCGAAAGTAATGAATATATTTTCATGATTTTTGGTATGCTGATAGATGAAACAGTATTCCAGGGGATGAGGTAGTGACGTTTTTAAAAATCTTAGAATAAATGATTTAATTTGATTATAAATTTATTCCGTTGTCATGATCTGAGATTTTTGTGGTAAAAATATATCCCTATTTTGGACGTCAATTCTGAAACAGTTTATCCTCCTATATTAAAATGCCCATTTCATCCACCAAAACAGCCACAGAAGGCTGCAAAACCACTTATTGTAGTCTTACAAAATCATTTTTAAAGATAACCTTTTGGTAGATTTTTAAAAAGATGTGTAGGCCTACTTTTTCTAAACGAGAGTCCAATTTGGCAGCCGTTACCTTAGCAACGCAAAAGCATGTTCAAAATGTTAGCCTACTTCATTACCAAATTTTTCACTCTGTTTATATTGATGCCACCACATTAATTGTAATATTAGATCTAGTTTCTTAATTCTTCTTAAAGAATTTCAACCCCCCCCCCCCCTCATCCCCACACCATGCCTTAACTTAAATAAAGTCGACTCGTGTTCCAAGAACTGTAACTGCGTTCCATATTAAATGTCTGCTGAATATTTAGGAATCGTTCCCCTTGGTTGTGTAGCCTCAAAGCTTTGCTGTTGCACTTTATTATTGAAAAGGAGAATTTAAATCTATAGAGTGAACTATATCAGGTTCTCACTTGCATATAAACTTATATAAATTGACTAGTATCTCACTATTTTTAAAACTAGTTGAGTAAATCGAAAATACGATCATTTGTAATAAAACAGATCACTTACAGTTAATTATAGAGTATCTGACTATTTCCGGTACATCCCGAATTGTCGGCCTTTCTCAGTTTGACATTGACGGTGATTTCCAGACCACAGAGTGCCGTATAGGCTTATTTTATTTCGATCGTTTTAAAACTCAAATCCGTCATCATGCCTATGGCAGGACTCACCATGGCGAGCTTGAAAAAGCACCCTTCGGTGAGTTCAATATGTTTGTTGTTCTTTATTTTGGTGTTTTTTTGCGATCAGTCGAACCAACTCATTGTGACTGGACTGGCAGCCCCGAACTGGTCATCATACAATGTGCAGGACACAGGACTCGCTGCACTGTGCTGTGAGACTTTTTAAATACAAATAGAGCTAATTTGAAAGGCAAATTGTGTGTTTAAAGTCTTTAATGACAAACACATTTTTCAAATTTCAATGTGCCTTATTTATGGTAGCCAGAATGCTTTACTTTGTCATTGTCTTTTTTGAAGCTCCCTTCCCCTTGCTTTTCGGTCGGAAGCGAAACTTCAAAATCAGCTACAGCTCAGCTATTCAAAAACTAATTATAATTTAAATCTAGACTAGATCTAGATCTAGATCTAGATCTAGATCTAGAACTAATTATAATTTAGAACTAGGTCTAGATTTAGTCTTGTTTAGCTTTCCTGTGGACCTGTTTGTACTGTAGTCTGTTAAAATAGACGAGGCCACTGAAATGTCCCTGCCTGCAGAGGGGGAGGGGGAGGGGCCATGTGTAAAGGCCGAGGGTGTGGGAGTGATTCTCACTTCTCTGTCTAGTATGAAATACACAGACCTTGTGATAGAAAACATTTGGCTAATTGATTAATGTAGGAGAAAACTGATCAGCTTGTCGTGAATAATTTCAACTTTAAGGTAGAATGACATTCTTTTTTGTCATTCTTGACTGCCAAGTGGTGGGGCACGACCCTTTTTCCTTTCCTTTCTTAGGTTGCCACCCTGACACTATCTGTACCATGCACGTCATCCTCAGCTGGGTAGGAACGAGTTCCGCTGAGGGCCAGCCGGCCAACAGCACACAAGAGGATATTTTGAGCCGAGTGTTCAAAGAAGTTAGGTTCAGTATTTTGGAAGGGTCAAAAGAAAGAACGAAATATTACAAATTTGGAAGATGAATTTTTAAAAAACCCAACCTAAATCGAGATCTAACCCTAACTCGTGTGTAGTTACAAAAAAGTTGTTTTCAGTGTTTTGGAAGGGTCAAAAGGAAGAACGAAGCAATTTTGGAAGATGAATTAAAAAAGAAAAAAAACAAGCTATACCTAACCATAACTCCTAAAGCATAGTTTGCTCAGTCAAGAACCTTGTCACGGTAAGTGCCGGTCCACTGTGTCGCTCCTCCCGCTAGTTAGGTTAACACACTGATCACTGACACTAACTCTTCTACTTTTTTCCACAGCTGGTTCCCCTGTTTGTGTGCGTGGGTGGTGGCATGGCCTGGGCTGCCTACTACATTGGCAGACTGTCCCTACGCAGCCCTGACGTCGGGTGAGTACGGATAGTTTGACAAATTAAATGTGAGGCGTCTTGTTGAAATCAGGCACTTGTCAAAATAATGAAGCTAAGAAATCTACATTTTCATGGTTTGGGCAATCTTTTTTCGAATTTTATTTTTGAAGTGACTATTTCTCCGAACGTTCGGAGAAATAGTGCCGATCTTTATTTCTCCTAACGGTTTTCGGCTTCCGGTCTCGTGATTTTTTGCCTATTTATTGCGAGAATTCGCGCCAACTTTCATTTTCATTCTGCCTCTGGTCTGGGAAGGAACATCGCATGGCAAGCCCGCCCAGACACTTTCTGTAACACCCACCACACACCCACCACCATCATGCACATGTACACACACTAACTAAACATGATCAGTGGGCAACATTTGAATGTATGAGGAGCTGAGCTGTGGATGGAGAGACAGTGTGAGTGACAGAGCAGGTGAAAGGAAGAATGTACGAGTGTATCGACAGGCGACAGCAACTAAAAGATGACGACACCGACCCCCCTGGCATGGTCCACAGCTCACGAACGAAAGGAATGCGGCTAAGGCAGTGTTTTGCTAATATTATTGTTCATGGTTCGCAGGGTGCAAGGAGGGAGGGGGTGGGGTGTGAAAGTCATGCGGACGGGGATGAGCCGCGGGAGAAAACACGGGAATTGAATGAGTGAAACTGAAAGAGAGGAACAACTCATGAGCCCTGGAGTGAATGGATCCTGTGTTTCTATTTTTGTATACTTTGAACTGTTACTGAATAAGGCTGAAATAAAGCCCGAAAAACAAACACACACACCCTCCTCACTCTCCACTTACGCACTTACTACCACACACAGACACACTCACACAGGCACATGCATACACACACCTCAAAGAGGGAAAAATAAAAGTAACTGTAACGTATTCAACAAATCAACGTGGTGACAACAAGTGAGAAAGAGACGAAGTGAAGCTAGGTGAACTTTCTTTCAAAAGTAAAGAGGTTCGGTTTCTTTCTTCTTTTTTTTTTCTTTGACTTTTATTCCCCGATCGGGGACCAAAAGATGCCAAATAATTGAGCCACGATTGATTGGTCACAGCCGCGACAAATGCAGATGCTAGTTCTATGTGTCGTTATCAATAATCCTCTCTAGATCTAGATCTAGACAGCACACGAGTGAACACAACACATAATTATAAGTTTAAGAGCAGCACCCTTCAAAGGCAACACGTCATATCTGTAGCGGAAAACTGTTTGGAACTGTAGCATTTCTTTATATCAATATTTACTGCGGACATTTTTTGGACCGAATGAACCATATTGTATACGAACAATCTTTGGTAAACTATCCGAAATTTGCGGGAAAGGATGTGATTTCAGAGTGTTCGGAGAAATAGTGCCTAACTTTATTTTCCCGAACGTTTGAAGAAATAGTGCCGGCCTTTTATTTTTATGGCACAAAACCTTTTATTATGCCAATTTAAAAACTCATTTGTAAGGATTTTACTGAAAAAGGTTGATCAAAGATACGAAAAATGTAAATTTGTAGTTTCCAAGTACTCTACCGAACTTTGGCGGCCATTTTGTAGCTAATTTTACCTCTGAAACCAGGCGATCCTACCTCCTTCAATTGCAAATATCTTCTATTCAAGGTAGTTGAGTGATTTTTTTCCATCTGACACAAGACAAAAGAAGTAGCTTTAAGATGATACCAATCACATACCCAAAAAATTGACGAGGGCCTGATTCTACCACGTCGTGGCACAAATGTATGGTTGTTGAGTTTCTGATTTTGTCTGCTTATAATGTTTAGATTCTATCAGTGCATGCAAGATAATGTGTTTTCTTACCCGTGTTTGCGAAGGCCTACATTAACATACTATTCTTGGGAGTGCTGTGGGGTTGTTTTGTTAGGACGAGAATGACTGGAATTACTGGAATAAATGTGTGAAATTGGCGCTCACATGACGTTATGCAGTTGCGAGTGCCGTAAAACCTCTCTAAATAATAATGTAAATGTGTGAAACCAAAATTGTATGGATGGGATTAACCGCACTTGTAACGCTACATAAGGGTTTGAAAAAGCAGAACCCCAAATTAAACGTGTCTGAGAGGAGTAAACTGAATAGGCTTTTGTGTGCCAAATAAAAAGTATTTTTATGATCCATATGATGACACTAATTTAAGTAATGTGTTCCAATATGTATTTTGTTTTTTATTTCTTGTTTGTGTATAAATTTAATGGTTTGTTTGTTTGTGTCAATGTTTGTTTTTTAAATATATGTGTTTAAAGTTAATTGGTGTATTAGTTTGTATAGACTTAAAAATTAATAGTTTGTGTGTGTTTTGATAATTTTTTTTTTTTTTTTTGTGCATGAGTTAAAAGTACTAAATTGTGACTTAATTTTTAAATGGTTATTTGTGCTAAATCTGTCATCAGCTGGTCCCAGAAACACGAAGGAATGGCCAACACCAGATGGCCCGTGAACAAACAGTACAAGGTAAGTGTGAGCCGAGTGCACGTCCCGCTGCTTTTGCGCGAGATAGATCAGGTGGTGGCGGGATGAGCGATTAAGACATGTTCACTCTGACTTTAGAAAATAAAGTGGGGGCTCTCGTGGCCTAGAGGTTAAGGTGTTGGCCTCTCGTTCAAAAGGTCCCGGGTTCGAATCTGGGTAGCGACCGATAAATTTTCTTCTCTAAATTTGTCTCCTTTCACCTGATTTCCTGCTCTCTAGCAATGTTCTGTCGTCTGCTTTCGTCTCCTCTTTCTGCCCCCACCCCCTCACCTCCTTTGCCCCTTCCTCTGGGCTCCTGATTCTTTCTGCAGCCTTTCTACTGCTACTCCTTCGCTTCTTCTTACTGCTGTCTTTCAGCCACACCCCTGATCTTCTGGTAGGAAAGATCTGCACCTAGCCTTCTCGGACAAGGGCCAAAAATCTCGGAGGGCCCGTGTGCAAGTTGCGCACGTTAAAGATCCCTTGGTGGTCTAGAATCGATAAGAGTAGGCTTCGGCCGCCACCCGGGCAAAATTCAAAATTTCCTACCAACTGAAAATATTAGGTGTGTCCCGTGCGCTCATATATGACCTTATGCAGTTGCGAGCGCCGTAAAACACTTCAAAAAACAAAACCAAAAAAAAAAAGAAAGAAAATAAAGTTAAAAAATTACACGTCCAGTCTGTGGGAGACACTTTGGGAGAAACAAATCAACAACATCAGACTCCACAAGTATCAGTGTTAATTGCAAGTGTGATCTTTTGATTAGGAAATGTGAATGTGGATTATTGTGTCTGCTAAACTGAAATCTGTGGGACAACCGGATTTTCCTGGGTTTAGAGAGGGTTGCTTAAGAAAATGATGATTGTGGATACCATAGAGCAGAGTTGAGAATTCCATGCTTGTGGTAAATTTCACGTTTTGAAGTTTTATTTTTAGTCCGTTACTCTCTCGTAGCACGGCAGATCCTCGGCATTTACTTTACCCTGTTTGTGTGCCAAGTGCTGGAAATCTTACTAGTGGGTGGTTGACGGGTGCTCTGGTGTGGTTTGCTCTTTCTTTCCTACCAAACATCTATCGTCCTGGTCTCGCCTTCTTTTTTGTGTATGTTACTATCTAGTAACACCTTTAATCTTCGACACTTATATGACCTTTTTGTGTTGCAAGTGCCGTAAAACTTTTACTGAAGCTAAAATCTGACTAAAATTAAAATGTAAACCTCTAGTTGCTTCTGTGCTGATTACTGAATGTTGTCTGTGGGTCGGGGCATGGGAAAAACAACAGCTGTTGCGCTACACCGGGGACTTTGGCTGTTTTGTTTTTATTTTATTTTTTTTAATTTTGCCATATGCAGTGTTTGAAAACTGAAAATGTGTGCAACAGTTATGGTGCAGCGTAACTTAATGTTAACTTCATTTCTCTAAGCGTCTGTCTTAAAAAATAAACAATTTTTTTTTCTTAGGTTTTGAGAAAACGAAAGGAAAAAGCAAGAGCCAAATTCAGACCTGTGACTTGGGCACTGGTTATTTTTCAATGAAAAACTAGAGTAGGAAATAATGAAGCAGACAAAAATAAAATATCGTAAGGTACCCTTTGATGTCTTTGTACAAAGAAGTGCTCTGTTTTGTTTTGGTTTTTGCAAGTAGTTTTTGTGAGTCCTGAGGATTTAAAAAAAAAAAAAATTATTTGGTTTTTTTTAGATAGGAACAGAAAATTCTAAGCCATTACAGTGAATCTTGTTGGCCCAAATCAGAAACTAGATAACATTAGTATGATAGTAAAGCTTCTTCGCTGACAGTTGATTGATGTTGAAGCTGTGGGGAAATTTTTATATTTTTATCGAGTATCTCTGTTTGCTGGGATGTTTTATTTTTAGCTTGATTAAGTTGGCCCTGGCTGGCAGCGTCAAAGTGGCCGGCCGCGTAGGATCTAAGTTGTGGCAGTGGAGAGTGCAGACTTCATTATTACATCCTTAGAATTTTTAATTAATACGTTACGGCTGTATTTTGTAAACTTCCCCCCCCTCCCACTCCATATTTTTTTAACATCACAATTATGTTTTCTTTAAAAGAACAAATACGTTCTTTTGATGAAATAATACTAATATCATGTTCTACTTTTAATAAAATAATTACATTCACAATTGTTTTGTTTTTTTAAACATTACAGTAACATTTTTCAAAGATTGCTCTGTTATTTATTATTTTTTTTCAACATTACTATTATATTTTTAATAACATCGCTTCCTCCTTGCCTCCCTCCTCCTTGCAGTTCTACTCTCCCATCCGGGACTACAGCAAGCTGGAGAACCCCAAGGAGAGACCACAGTTGTAGACAGGACACACCGGTGTACACACGAGGGAGGGATGGAGAGGAGGAGGACAGGACAAGACGTGGCCCCACCCCTTCTCCCCTCCCCCGGCCTCACGTTGGGACTGGCTACACAGTTTGTTCCCACGGCCAGATGTTGTGTGGACGTTTGTTGTACAGAGTGAAGTTGTCTGTCTGTCTGTCTGCGTAGTGATACGATAGCATGAGTGCTGGCAACGGAACAGTTTTTTTTTTGGTTTTTTTTTTAAATTTCTTTTTCAACAGAAAAGTTTGCCAGTTGGGTAGGTATAGGAGGAGGATATTTGGAAAAAAAGAAGCAAATTTCGCTAGAAGTGAATGGAAGTGTACTTACCTGTAATTTATTTCACCACGAATATCTTCTACCATGTGTAGCTTGGGGAAATGTTTATACCTGTGATGGTACATATTTGCCGCGGAATGGTGTTTTCGCCTCCTCACGCCTACTGACTTCTTTTGCTGTGCTAGATCTAGTGGTTTTCTTTAGTTTCTGAAAACGTTTCATCCTGTCAACTGATATTTCAGACAAAAAGATCTGCAACTGAGTACACAATTTTGTCTTTACAGGAAACTTATTATTTCCTTGTGGACTAAAAGTATGCTCATAGTATGATATTTTTTTTCCTCTTCTTTTTTTTTTTTTTTTTTTTCTCGCTTCTTGATATAAGGTGGTATCGCACAAAGCTGACCTTGAAGTTTTTCTTTTCTTTTATTTTGCAGAATCATTGTCCACTTTCCATGAAAAATGTTTTACCAGTACTTTGCAGTCTCCACTGTATTTGAAATTTTAATATGAAATAAAAATGATCCTGACTACCGTGCTGTCTTTTGAGATTTTTTAAACTTTACTATTTTTGTTTTGTTTTGTTTTTTTGCAGTTTTTTCGTAGTCCTGCTTGTTGATGGGTGGTTGGCGGGTGCTCTGGTGTGGTTTGCTTCTTCTTTTCTATCAAACAACTATCATCCTTATCTCCCCTTCTTCTTTTTTATGTTTGTTACTCTCTTGTAACGCCTCTAAATTGTCTGGCACTCATATGACCTTATGCAGTTGCGAGCGCTGTAAAACTTCTTCTAAAACTAAAACCAGCTTGATGGCTAAACACATGTACTATTACACAGTCCCTCTGGACCTCCTATGCTGTTTTTTTCCTTTTTTTCCCCCTATTCCACTTGGGTGGTTGGTGCGTGCTCTGGTGTGGTTTACTTCTTCTTTCCTATAAAAATAAACTATCGTCCTTCTCTCTTCTCCTCCTTTTTTGTGTTTCAAGTGCCGTAAAACTCTTACTGAAACTAAACCCCTTGTAGAAGTGGGTGGTTGGCGGGTGCTCTGGTGTGGTTTGCTTCTTCTTTCCTATTATTAAGCATCTGTCGTCATTATCTCCCCTCGTTCTTTTTTGTGTATGTTACTCTCTTGTTGCACATCTGTTCTTCGGCACTAATATGACCTTATTGTGTTGCAAGTGCCTGAAATCTCTTACTGAAACTAAACCCTTTGTAGAACACACTCAGCAACACATTGGAAGTCCTTTTTTTAAAAAAATGGTTATTCTCTTTGGATCGAACATGGCGCCTCCAGATTACAAAGCGAGGAGCTAGCTATCTTTATAAACTCACAGAAGGCTGGAGGATTTTACTATGTAATTGTGGCGTCGGTGGCCTAGTGGTTAGGCAGGCAGACTCGTAATCGTGAGATTGGGGGTGCGGGGGTTCAAGCCTCAGCTCGACCCGACGTAACTTCCTTGGGAAATACACTTTACTCCAATTTCCCACTTGGCTCGGTCTTTTTGGAGATGGACGTTAAAACTCGGAGGCCCCGCCTCTTAATTAAATAACCAAATAGTACTGATGATAGGGTCGTTAAACCTATACCATTTCACCGTTTTACTGTGTATGTAAGCAGCGAAGACTGGTGGTTATTGGGTTTTATTTTAAACCTAAAATCTGAACCATTTAAACCAACTGCAATGCCCCTTTGACACAAACAAGACCAAGAAGCATACCGTACCAAAGTGTAAGTGTCTATCTTTTGCAAGATTATTTGTCATGATTTTTTAAAAAGGTATAAAATTCAATGTTGAAAAAATTTACGAATAAAATAAAATATTAAAAGTATTAGGGATGAGCTAAAAAATACTGGGCATGAGCTAGAAAATATTATGGATGAGCTAGAAAATATCAAGGTTGAGTTATAGAAGACTGAGGATGAGCTAGAAAATATTAGGAATGAGGTAGAAAATATTGGGAATGAGGTAGAAAATATTGGGAATGAGCTATACTAATACTATAAAATAATACGATGGATCTACAAAATGTTGGGGATGAGCTAGAAAATACAGGGGAACACTGAGGATGAGCTAGAAAATACTGGGGATGAGCTAGAAATTATTAGGAATGAGGTAGAAAATATTAGGAATGAGGTAGAAAATTCTGGGGATGAGCTATACTAATACTATTGTCACTATAAAATAATACGATGGATCTACAAAATACTGGGGGAAAAAAAAGCTAGAAATTGTTAGGAATGAGCTAGAAATAAATAGGGATGAGCTGAAAATATTAGGGATCAATTTAAAAAATAAAAGAAATGAGCTAGAAAACAGTTGGGAATTTTTCTTAATGAGCTGGGAACTATAACTATTATTACCTGTCCCCATGGTTTTATGCACCCTGCATAATTTAGCATAATTTGATCATTTTTTGCTTAATTTCTGATTATTCTCCTTTATCATTCTCAGTTAAAATTAACAGAATCGCAAAATTTCACATTTTTGGGCTCAGTTTGCTTAAGTTAATTTCAGAATTTTTCTTGCATAAATCGATGGGGAGAGTATTATTAGGGATGAGCCCAAAAATAGTGGGGAATATTTGGGATGAGCTAGAAAATATTAGATATGATAAGTGAGCTAGAAAATACTGTGGATGAGGCAGAAAATATTAGGAATGAGCTAGAAAATACTGGCGATTAGCTAGAAAATATCGGGGATGAGCTAAAATATAATAACCTTTTATAAGGTTGAGTTAGAAAGTACTGTGGAAGGCGGAAGGGCTACAAAATATTGGGGTTGAGTTGAGCTAGAAATTTGGGATGAGGTGAAAAATAGTGGGGAAGAGCTTGAAAATAATGTGGTTGAGCTAGAAAAGAGTGGGTATGAGCTATAAAAAAAAAGGTTGAGCTATAAAATGCTGGGGGTGATCTAGAAAATACTGGGGATGAGCTGCAAAATACTAGGGATGAGCTAGAAAATATTAGGTTTGAGCTAAAAAAAAATTATAGTTATAGAGATGAACTGGGGAAATACTGGGGAATATTTGGGATAAGCCAGAAAATAATGAGGATGGGCTAGAAAGTACTGGCAAATTTTGGGGATCAGCTAGAAAATACTGATTGGGAATGATCTAGAAAATACTGAGGATGAGCTACAAAATATAAGGGATGAGCTAGATAACACTGGGGATTAACTAGAACATACTGTAGATGAGCTAGAAATTAATAGGATTGACCTAGAAAGTACTGGGGATGAGCAAGAAGATACTGGTAATGAGCTTGAAAATATTACGAATGAGCTAGAAAATACTGGGAATGAGCTTGAAAATATTAGGGATGAGCTAGATAATATTGTGGACGAGATAAAAAAATATTACAGATCAGCTAGAAAATATTAAGGTTGAGCTGTAAAATACTTAGGATGAGCTAGAAAATACTTGGGAGAACTAGAAAATAGTGGAGATCAGCTAGAAAATATTAGGGGTGAGCTAGAAAATACTGGGGATGAACTACTGTACCCTAACACTAACATATGACGATGTTAGGCTACACCCCGAGGTCCACCTATCCACATTCAAAGAAAATACAACTAAATAAATGAATAAATTCAGTATGGGTGGTTGAGACATGTACCAACCGCACAGGTTTTTTTAACTGCAGATTTGTAGGCACAGATAGGACCTTAAATTGATTCCAGATTCATTACATGTCCTGCTGTGATGAAAGATGGATGTGAACATGTTTTAAAAAAATTATATATGTGGCCTAAATAAAGTGAGGTGGGGGGCTAGCTTATATTGATCATGTGTGGCCTAAATAATAAATAAGGTAAGGGAGGGGGGGGGGTTAGTTTATATTGACAATATGTGAGGCAGCGTGGTGGAATCAGGCTCTCGTCAATTTTGGGGCATTTAGAGATATTGGTATAATCTTAAAACTTGTTCACTTGTTTTTATTTGGATGAAAAAAATATCCATTTATTTTGAATGCAAGTCGAGATATTTGCAAATGAAGGAAGTGGGGGTCACCTGTTTTCAGAGGTAAAATTAGTGAGAAAATAGCCCCAAAGATCAGTTATTTCCTTAGGTTTAGAGTCCGTGGTAATAATAATAATAATGGATTGCATTTATATAGCGCATATCCACTTATGCAATGCTCTATGCGCTTAACATGATACATATAATGGATTTACAAATCAATTTTAAAGATACATAGTGTTACATACTCATGCAAACACATATTCACTCACGCACGCACCACACACATATACATACTCACATACACACATATATACATATGCACATACGCACATACAAACTCACAACGATATACAGCTTGGATGCATTCTGTCTAATCGAAATATGATGAAAATAGAAATGATTTTAGTTTCTTCTTAAAAATTTCTAGATTTTCTGCTTCTCTGATAGTTTTTGGAAGCCTATTCCAAACAAGTGGGGCAAAATATGAAAAAGAGCGTTGGCCATATGATTTGAAATTTATTTTAGGCTTAACAAGGGTTGTTTTGTCACTTGATGATCTGAGCGTTCTAGGAAGCACATAGGGTGTTAAAAGCTGTTTTAGATAGTCCGGTGATAAATCATTTAAGCACTTGTAGCAAGTTAAACAGATTTTATATATGATACGCTCTTTCACTGGGAGCCAGTGTAATGCTTTTAAAATAGGAGTCACATGATCATGCTTTAGTTTTTTAGTAATTATTTTGGCAGCAATATTTTGTACTCTTTGTAGTTGTAACTGTTCATCAGGTACACCAGCCAGTAAGGAATTGCAATAATCAATCCTTGACAATATAAGTGATGTTATTAAATGCTCCCTATTTTCTTCAGCTGGAGATATAGAAACTGAAAATTTGCATTTTTTGTGTCTTTATTCAACGTTTTTCAGAAAAATTAACACAGAAATGAGTTCTTTAATGGGCATGAAAGGTGTTGAGCCAAAAAACAAAACATTGAAAAAAATTTACAAACCTGCTGAAAAATGCAAGTTTCGTCACTTGTTATTTTGACGAGAGCCTGATTCAACCACGCTGCCTCACATATGTTGCCTAAATAAGGTCACCCTAAAGGAAATGTTCATGCTTTTCAAAATGATGGAGAAATCATGAACACATTGCTATCCTCTGATCCATGTCAAGCTTCTCGAACAGGAAAATGGTACATTTGTAGATGAAGATCTGCCTTGAGAATGTGGACCGTTGAGATGTAGGAAAGTCATTGCTGCTGACATCGTCTACAGACAGACGTCTCATGGGGCTCATCTACTGAATTCTGCACCCTGGTGACGTCTAAAGGGGTGCAAACGGTGTGTGTTTGACTTGAAATGGTCGATTTGTCTGGGAATTTTTTGTTCTGATTCTCTACAGGTCCTAACAGATGGACCATTTTCGCTCTTGACATCAAAGGAGGACTACTCAAGTACACTTTAGCATTATTTCCGCACCTTGTGTGAAACTGATGAAATGAATTGGTGGTGAGGAAATTTTCAATACAAAAAACTCTCTGGTCCTAACTAAGCATAAATATGATCTCAACAAGAAGGAAACTTGAGAAAAATTATCTGCAAACTTCTGTTGGCCTGTCAGACTACTGTAGCTTGCAATATGGCCCAATCGTTGGGATTTTTAGTGGTAGGCCCAATGCCTGTCCCCGCGGTTTTATGCAAAATTTTTTTTGAAATTATGAAAACTGAGCCCAAAAATGTGAAATTATGCGATTCTGTTAATATTAACAAAGAATGTTAAAGGAAAAAAATCAGAAATTATGCAAAAAATGATCAAATTTTGCGAAATTAAGCGGGGTGCATAAAACCACAGGGACAGCAATGCGAACTAGTGCATCATGTTACAAAAATATAGGGACATAGCTGAAAATGGGTCGTTTTCTTACACGCTGTAGAGAAAAACTATTTTGTGGATTTATCTAAAATGAGAGTCAAACAAATTCCTTTTGACTCCATAATGTTGTGTACAAATTTGAAACACAAAACTTCGCTAGGGAGGTAATTATTTACCAAAGATGTTGTTCGATTTTTTTTGGGATCACCCTGTATTTGTAAAAAAAATGATGAAATGGTATCGGTTGAACACCCCTGTCAACCTGTCCATCGTGGTTTTATGAACCCCGCATATTTCAGCAAAATTTGATGATTTTTTTCATAATTTCTGATTATTTTCCTTTATCATTTTTTGTTAAAATTAACAGAATCCCATAATTTTACATTTTTGGGCTCAGTTTGTACAATTTCAGAATTTTTCTTGCATAAAACGACGGGGACAGATCAACACAGGTAATTTAAGAGGCACACATCTAACACACACTCCCTAATGCAACCACAACATTCAACCGAGAAAACAAACGCTGAGAAATACAGTCTTTAAAACAACGCGCCAAGAAAAATGTATGGTAGCCATTTATTGTTGACGGTAAAAATGTACAACATATGACTTATGATTGTGACATTTGCTTTTCAAATCGAAAAGCGTGGCTATGAACTATGCAGAGGAGAGCAAAATAGTTTAAGCAAATGAAAAGAGAGAAAGAGGCTTTCTTATTGAAGAACAAAATATGTGAACAGAAAAGGAAAGATGAGCATTAAAAATGTATCTATTTGTAATATATGGTTGATATTTAGACATTTATAGTTTTGCAGATAAAGAAGTGAAAAGTCTTAAGGCTTAAGGAACAGTGTAAAACTAAAGTCAGTACTTAAGTACTGGGTGGTGTGAAATCAGATGCTGCCTAAAGATACACAGAGTTACTGATAAATAGAATTATTTACTAGGGTCAGCACAATTTTCAAAACACGCAGTACAATGTAGACAGAAGAATACAGTGCAGCCTCTCTATAACCACGTTGTCGGGACCAGAAAAAAATGTCGTTATAGAGAGTCGTTGTTTAGAGAGAGTTTCGTTTTATACTATAGAAAGGCAACCAAAAATTACTAATGATATATACAGAAAAAATCGGGACCTGGGCACCACGTTGCTATACAGAGGATGTCGTTACATCGAAGGTTGTTATAGAGAGGCTGCACGCAATGCTCAGAGAGACAAGAAATAGGAGGAAGTCAAGTTTCAGATCAAATTGCATCTTCTTAGGTTATAGAAATGAAGAATTCAAAGTGGACGGATTCCAATCATCATAGCTTACGTTAACTATCTACATCATGTACATCATTTTCTCACTTTCACTTTCAACGAATCACTAGAGCTAGAAAAACTCTCAGAATAAATATTTCATGTCATCGAAACATTTGCTGAGCTGCAACAGACGACAGACGACGAACGGGCAGTCGGGAGAGGTTGAACCAGTCAGTGTGTCAGGTCCCCGGGCTGTAGCCTGAAGGATTTGGTTCGGTTCCACGTCTAGCTGGCCAGTAACTTGAGAGCCCGCACGGCCGGGATGACTTCGTCCATCTTGTCCACTCCTAGTTGGGGACAAAGGTTAGCGGAGTAAAGAGAGAAGAGATTTTTTAAAAAAGTTTTTGGATCATAACATCCGATATTTTTAAAAAAATTAAAAAATTATAATCTTGAAAAAAGGATCACAAACAGAAAAAAACACTAGCATCTTATATGGAATTATTCAGAATTGCATTTGGAATAAACCTATACATGTCTTGAGTGGCACTTTTTGTGTAATTTCACCAAAAAGTAGTGATTTTGGGGAGAAAAAAAATATTTTGACAATTTAGATTTTCGGGGGAAACGCTTGACCCGGAAGTCAATGTTATATTATAACCTTTATTTTAACATGGATACGTGGATTGGAATAAAAATTTAAGCTAGAATTATAGTTCGGTGCTCAAGCCGTCGGGAGCGGCTTGGCGTACGGAAGACACTTTTGCTGCATCGCTGTCCACCACAGCTCGGTGTAGCGAATGAGTTGCAAAAAAAGTTTTTGTAAAAGTTTCCCAGAAATTGCAGCACAAATAAGACATATAAATTGCTGAAGATTAATTCATCTGCTACATATTATTTCGGGTTTGTTGACGAATTTTTTTCGGGAGGGCGAAATGAGATGATGACTAGTGCGCAGTTCAAAGGTCTTTATTGGGGCCACAAATTCTCATAAATATCAACATATTATACACGAAATTGTCAGTATGATTTGTAGAGTACATCTGTAATGTTTATTGGCGTACTTTTCAACTTTGGTTCCTGTAAGAGGCGATTATGCAACACAATTTTGCTTGGATGCGGATAAAATTTTAAAATAAAAAATTAACCATCTTTGGTAAAACTATAAAAAAATATGTTCACACCTTGTCAAATCATACATCAAAACAACCATAAATGAAATAGAACTGGAAAATATTGAAAAATTGTCAGTTATTTACTTACATTCCACAAAATTTGTCAATTTGGATCATAACATCAGATATTGCAACAACAAAAAATAGCATAATCTTGAAAAAAGAACACAATCACAAACAGAAGACAACACTCATATATATGACATTTTTCAGAATTGCATTTGGAATAAACCTATACATGTCTTGAGTGGTACTTTTTTGGTAATTTCACCAAAAAATAGTGATTTTGGTGAGAAAAAAAAATATTTTGACAATTTTTTAGATCTAGCACTGAAAGATATTGATTTCTCAATAACAGAGCAATGGCAATTTGAGTCCAATAGTATCAATATTCTAAAGAAAGATGCCTACATTTCTATAGTAAGCAAAATAATGATATGCCTACTTTTGCTGTTTTAAAGTACTAAGACTGGTGTCTGGGCTATAATTTGGGCTTCGCGATAAAACAAAGTCTCATAAACTTCGAAATCGTGTTTCAAAACTGAATCAAAACTTCCGATTTTTGGTGGAAATGCTTAACCCGGAAGTCAAAGTTATATTATAACCTTTATTTTAACATGGATATATGGATTGGAATAAAATCTAAGCTGGGATTATAGGTTGGTTCTCGACCCATCGGATGTGGCTTGTGATTTCACTTTGGCCGCGCTGCTGCCACGGCTCGGCATAGCGATTGAGTTAAAGGAGTTACAAGAGATTAGGGGCTAATCTACAAAGAAAAGAAAGAGGTAAATTTTCCGTTTCAATTGACTCTCAAGTTCTGGAAGTCACTTAACTTTGGTGGCCATTTTCTTGATAAGGCTACACCACAAATAACAGTATACATTTACACCTAATTCTGACTATGTGACCAATTATTAACCTGCATAAACCCTTACCACTTAAATAATAATAGAAAGCATTCGTACAGCAAGCTCTGTGCGCTTTACAATCTATACTATTACCCAGCAGACCTGAGAGCATTCTGAAGCAACTTCAACTTCTTGGGAAGCATACAGTGCAAGCAGCCATTTATAGGCGCTACAACATTAACATACTGATAAGATCTTTCACCACCTGGGTGAAGAGAGGAAAATTCATGTAAAGTGCCTTTCCCAAGGACACAACATCGGGCCCGCGGCTCGAACTCCTGAGCCCGCAACCTCACCATTACGAGTCCGGTACCCTAACCACTAAGCCACCGACACCATACATACTCACCGAGGATGTCAAAAAGTTTGTGTATGATTCCTTGGAACGCTGGGAAAAATTCTGTGTGTTCGTCTAGTCTGCGAATGACCCTGTGAAGAAGGCAAGAGAGGATGGTCTACTACTTCTACTTCTAGACGACTGACGTTGAAAAGTTTGGACAAATATACACAAGTACTAAAACTAAAACCAGACTGAAGGGAATTATTTCACAATCGGAGAGACATCAGAAAAGGAAATAATAATAATAATAATAAATAGCATTTGTATAGCGCATATCCCCGCTCAACAGCAGGCTCTATGCGCTTTAAAAAACTTCCCCTCCGTAAAATACACAACCTTTGACCCAGTAGTGATGACTAGCTCCGCCCCTTTCGTCATTTTCCCTTGTACATGTGTTCCGCGCAATTGACCAATCGGCGCAATGCGCTGTGCGTTTCAATGATCGTATATTGCGCTGTTGGGTCATGTTAATAATTGCGTTCATATATTTTATATTTTTGAAACAATTAAGAAAATAAAAATTCACTTCCATCTTTATTTTTTTACTCACATCAAGGAACATTTATATTTTTAAAAGGGTAAAAATGTGAAAATTAAAATATGAAACTGAAGAGCCCACAAGAATGAAAGGCCTACAATGCCAGGTAACAAACTCAAAGTTCACAAAGTACATTTAATTTATTCTTAATTTTCAAAATAACTTAAAAAAAAATTCACTTTCATATGTATTCTTTTACTCACATCAAGGAACATTCACGTATATTTTCAAAAGTGTAAAAACATGAAAATTAAAATTAAGATTAAAATTAAGATAATATGAAACTGAAGAGCTCACAAGAATGATGCAATTATTAATAATTATACAATCGTTAAAACGTGCAGTGCAAATTGCCGTGCATTTATAAGATCGCTAAAACGGGCATTGCGCCGATCGGTAAATTTCACTGAACACATGCACTAACTTGTCACCAACTAATGACAACTCTGCCCCCACCCCCTCCTCCAAACACATTCTCGACTCTCAAGCAACCCTTGACAGGTACATCATGAACTAACTAAACACCCCCCCCCCCCTCCTTCCACACACATATTTTCAACTATCAATCTTTGCCCCTGTGTACTTGAGCTAGCGTGCGTGCGCTCACACTCACCCGTTGAGGTCGTCATGGCAGTCTGCATGAGTTTCTTGAGCTGCCTGGCCGTGGTGGGGTTGTGCGCGTGTGGCATAGACTTGTCACTAACTAATGACCACTCTGCCTCCACCCTCCCCACCCCCGCCCCACATTCTCGAACCTCAACCTTTGCCCCTGTGACCTTACTGAACTAGCGTGCACTCAATCTCACCCACTGAGGTCGTCAGTCTGCATGAGTTTCTTGAGCTGTCTGGCCGTGGTGGAGTTGTGCGTGTGTGGCATAGACTTGTGACTAACTAATGACAACTCTGCCTAAACCCACCCCACCCCACCACCACCTAATGCGTTCTCGAACTTCAACCTTTGACGTGGTACATTAATTAACTAAACACCCTACCCCCCTACCACCTCCACTCCCACAAACACACACACTTGCAAACCTCAACCTTTGCCTCTGTGACCTTGTTGAACTAGCGTGCACTCACACTTACCCGCTGAGGTCGTCAGTCTGCATGAGTTTCTTGAGCTGCCTGGCGGTGGTGGAGTTGTGCATGTGGCACAGACGTCCCACTGTGTCGACCAGAGCTGAGGCATGGGCGTCTTGGTCTGTACGTGTTTAAAAAAAAAAAGTTTAAGTAAGAGTTTTACGGCACTTGCAACACAATAAGGTCATATCTGAAGAGTGCTGAGAAAATGAATTACTTCTCACAATCCAAGAATTGAGATCTCTGTCGAAAATCGACATTGGGGTCAGATTTATAGATTTCCAATTGAGGCCATTTTCAAGTCTACCATGTCTTTTACTTTCCATACTTTCAAATTGCGGAAACTCCACCTACAAAGTTGATAAATTAATTTCCAAAAGGCAAAAATCCGAGAAATAACTCATTTTGTCAGCACACTTCACATAAATAAGTGCTGAAGATTTGAGGAGTTCTAAGAGAGTTTTAGTTTTAGTAAAAGTTTTACAGCACTAGCAACACAATAGTGTTTGTTTGCTGTGATTCCAATCACAGTAGTTATGTATCTCTCTTGACACTATTTATTCCATCTAACAAGAGTATTTTTTTGTGTTGCTAGAGCCTCAGAGATGGCACATTTTCGCTCTTGAAAATTTGGGCGAAATTTTCAAAGTCCTATTTTTAAATAAAAATTCATTAAAAATGTATTTGTTGTCCGATTTTCAAATTTTTTTGTGAGCTGTCTTTGAATTCTTTCTGTCTTTAAAGCTGTAACAAGCAAAAATATGAATGAACACTTTGAAAAATCAGTTTGGAATACCTAAATAAGGTCATATAAGTGCCGCAGATTGGAGGTGTTACAAGAGAGTAACAAACACAGAAAAGAAGAAGGGGAGATAAGGAGGACAAATGTTTGTCTGACTGTACATATGTTTGTCTTTTAACCCCCCCCCCCAGTCTCTCCTTTTGTTCTTCTTCTCCTGGTCGCCACAATTTTAGATGACAAATGTGACTTGTGCTGACAAAATGAGTTACTTCTTGCAATCCAAGAATGGAGATCTCTGCTGAAAATCGACATTGGGGTCAGATTTATAGATTTATTGAGGCCATTTTCTTCAAGTCAACCATGTCTTTTATTTTTCCATACTTTCAAATTGTACAAACTCCACCTACAAAGTTGATAAATTAATTTCCAAAAGGCTAAAATCCGAGAAGTAACTCATTTTGTCAGCACACTTCACAAATAAATTACAAACAGCGCTATCTGTTTCTTCCTTTATCTCTCTTTCAATTTAGCTCTCACTCTCTCTCTCTCTGCCTCCACTCCAAGAAATACCTCCCTCTCTCTATGACTATGAGGGGTATATCCCACCCTCTCTTCTCTCCTTTTGTTATTTTTCTCTATTTTGGATGACAAATTACGAACAGCGCTTTCTCTATCTCTTTCCTTTCTATCTCTCTTTCAATCTTGCTCTGCTGCCCCTCCAAATCTCTCCCTCTCTCTATGAGGGGGACACCCCCCACCCCCCTCCCACACACACAACTCCC